TTTTAATGTTATTTGTTTTGTTTTGTTTTTTCTTTTGTGGTACCAGAGATTAAACTCTGGACCTTGTGCTCACCAGGCAGGCACTTATGCTGCTGAGCTATCTCCCTGGCGCCAATGTTATTTGTTTGTTTTTGACTGGGTCTTGCTATGTAGTCCAGGCTGTCCTCAAATTCCCCATGATCCTCCTGCTTCAGCCTATTAAGTGCTGAGATGACAAGTATTCACCACCATGCCTGGCAGAAATAGGTTTTATTTTCTTGCAGTGCTGGGGATTGAACCCAGGGACTCATACATGCAAGGCAAGTGCTCTACCACTGAGCTACATCCCCATTCTCTAGAAGGCCATCTTGGCCCTTCCTCACCAATGCCCCCCTCTCCAGCTCAGGGACTCCACTCCTTGCCCAGTGGGGGGCCTCTCCAGGTCTTGGGGGTTATTTCAGGTAGTTGCAGGTCTCGGCCCTTCCTTGAGGAAGCTCCCTGGACTGTGCTTCAGGGTGTCACCCTGACGCTAGCCAGGCAGCGCCCCAGGCTCCCTACCCCACGGGGCCTATGGCCTGTGAAAGGCCAGTGCCTCAGCCTCCCAGAACTGGACCCATTAACAAATGCAGCCCCTGGCTGCCCCCGTCCTGCCCTGCCCTGCCCGGCTGTTCACTTCTCTCTGGAGCCGGGATGTCCCCCACCGCCTGCCTGGTTGTGGCCAGTGTCCATCTGGGAGCTGTGCGGGGTGAGGCCAATGACCTAGGGGTGGGGGCCAAAAGGACATCCGTGGCCACCACAGGCCTGTGCCTGGGCTCCCCCAGGCTGCAGAAGCCTGGGCCCCAGAAGACTCTGACAGAGAGTCCAGGCCCCATATTTACCCTGCAGACTAGCTGCATGGTTCCCTAAATTGGGAACTGACTGATTCCCCAAGTCACAGGGACATCCAGTGATTTGCAGGAGAATAATGATCTTGAGGGAGAGAGTCTGCAGACGCTGGGCTCGTGGAACATTTTCTGTCTCCCTTTTCTTCTTACCTACCAAAGCTGCCCCTTCCCAGCAGGTGCAGGAGGGTGACGGTACGTATTTTATCTCGGGAGCATCCCAGGCCCAGGGAACCACAGAGTGGCCTTCCAATAACTGTCTGACTTGCTGTGTGACCACAGAGAAGTTACTCGACTTCTCTGATTTCAAAAGAGGTTGTTGTTGTATGTCACTGAGGGGGTTGTGGGGAGGGAGAAGTTGAGAGGCTCGTCACAAGGACAATGAGTTTGCTGTCAGCCCTCGGCAGGATGGGCAGGGGAGCCAGGGTCTGGGGACACATCTGTGTTCCAAACAGTCAGCCTTTGCTGAGGCTGGGTTTGGGATAGGGCACAGGTGCTGGGCCTGGAGCTGCCTCTGAGACCCCCTCCCTGGGGCCTGCAGCCACACTTGGGGCTCCCACCTCTTCTCTGTTCTTCACTAGCAACGACCCTGACTCTATATCTGTTGCCATGACGACCTGTTACCCATCCTCGGATGAAAGCCCTATTTGTGTGGGAGCAGGCTGTCTGCAGATCTTGGAGACCTGTCACTGTCCCCGACGCCCTCCCTGAGTCTCCAGCTGGCTTCGCTGCTGCTTCCTGCCTTTCTGTGCTTGTGCAGAGGGCCCTCCTGTCTTCTTAGTTTCCTGGGAATGTTCTATTACCTCCTTCTCTGGCTCACTCTGGTCCTTCCTTTTCCCCCGTCCCACACTGCCTCTCTCGTGGCTTCTCGCCTCCTGTCCCATTCTTCTTTCTTCCCCAACCTGTGAGCACAGTTGGATAGCAGGAGGGTTAGGTGTGTGCTCCGAGGGGGTCTGTGGTTTATGTGTGACCAGGGAGGTGTCAATGGCCCCTGCAACCCTGTCCCGGTTCTTGTGTGCCAGGGCCCTCAGGTGCCCACCCAAGGAGCCTGGCCACAGCTTCTGGAGTTAAGCAGCAACTTTTCCAAGGCCAGACAGCTGGCTAACAGCGGGTTAGGATTGGAAATTTTGTGCCTTCACCAATGCTCAT